GCAGGACTGAAGCTGGCCCTGTGTGAGATTGATGTTCTATCACTGTCCACATTCCACTACCAACAACTGTGTAACTTACTGTAGGATTTTCCCTTTAGATGCACTTTATTGTACTGCAGGAGATAATTAGAAAAGAAAGCAGTCAAAATTGTCATGTAAACCATGCATTTCCTATCTAAGTGCAATCCATCTTTGCTTACCATGAGTGAATTAATCTTTTGTTGTTAGAGAAAAGAATTGCTTGGGTCGGACAAGATGACCTCCGAAGGTCCCTTCCAACCTCAACTGTTCCGTGGTTCTGTCTTGAATTAAGACTTTTTTTTTTAGTTATTACCTTGAAATTAAGTTAGTAGAGACAGCCTTATAGATAAGCTGATGAATTGGCTGAGGATTTGGGGCAGTTTATTAAGTGAGATATCAATATTATGTCTTAATTAAAAGTACTATACAGAGGGAAAAGATTTTGTATTAAAAATGCCTGTCTTGGAAAGGAAGACCTGTTTTCAGGGTAACAAAACACTCCACCAAACTCAGCAAAAAACCCAAGTAAAAATTCCTTTAGTGTTTACTGCTTTTCTTGTATACTGAGGTACCAAACAAATGATGTTATTCCTGGTTTTATGCCACTGTTTGACAAAATGCTTTCCTGTAGATTCTGTAAATTTCATACAAGTTATGTTGCTTACAGGTTTGCAGTTAAATCTGTAAAAAGGCATGATTGAGATTTTTGACAAGTTCTTCTTGTGTTTTGTGCCTACTGGCCTATAGCTCCTATTTTTATTTCATTTAATCCAGATAAAATGAAGTAGAACATACTCTTCCACCTTCAGCTGATGACTTGTAATTATTTTACACCTGTATCTTGTACCTTTTTTTTTATATTGTTTGTTTTGCTTGTTTTAACCTGCATTTAATTTAGTAATAGCATCGCCCTTAACTATCTAAGAAGTAGAGATTTAGTGTAGTTATTTAAGCTCCTCTTGTGCTCTGCACAGGCAAAATGACATTTTAAAAGTACTGTTTGACCCACTCGGCAGTTAGTTGTGTGGCACAGGTTGGGTGATTTGTGCTCTAGGGATGCAGTTTGTACACTCTGCAACTGATAAGGCGATCTAGACAAAGTTTAAAGCTTAAATTCAACCAAGCTTTTAGGTGGCTGTGATTTTCGCCTGCTGTGTATTTCAGTTTTGACTTCAGGTTTGTTGATAATTTGACATATGTTTGAGATGCTGTTTTGTCTGTTTTATTTTCATAGTCAGTTAAGAACTACACCAAATGTCACGTGAGGAATGAACAGATCTGCAATAAACTGACCAGCTGCAAAAGTTGCTCGCTGCACCTGAACTGCCAGTGGGACCAACGGCAGCAGGAGTGCCAGGCACTACCTGGTAAGGGTTGTGGGGTGACGATGCTGCTTTTATGTACTTGATTTCAAAATTGGATAAATCTCTTCCACAGTTGTCAAAGAATATTTGTTGAATGTGTAGTCCTGGATTTGTTCTACTTGTGCTGACTCTCCCTGCCTGGCTGTGCCTGTACAGGTGAACACAAATGTAATTACATCACTGGTTGGTATATCAATGCTACCTTTAATCTTGTTAGGAGAGATAATAACATTAGCGAAGGCACAATGGCATGTACTTCTGCACAAGCCAGAGACAAGTTCTAGCCTGTGGGGATCACTGAGTGTAGAGCTGAATTGCCACACTGAGTCCTTTACTATTACATATCCACTCTCATTGTTACTCTTACTAGCTGAGGGTTTATCTTCTAAATTATACTTCAATTTTCCTGTGCAGATACTGCCTAAGATCTAGTTTCTTGATCATCTAATGTTGGTAATACTATGAAAGCAGTGAATATTAAAATGCTGATATAAAATATTCTTAGAAGGTGACTGTTAATGTTCTGAAATAATATTTATTCTGTAATTCATATTCATAGCTACATATATGCAGTTAGATGTCAGAACCTTTTCCATTTGATCTTCATGTCCAGATGAAGTTAATGAATACTTTTTTTGGATATTATTAATTAAATAACTTTAATCAATTTATTCCACAGAATAAATAGTTCAGAATAAACTGTAGCACTTGCTCTGAATTACTTTTTGTTTTAGTTATCTGAATCTCAGTAATGCTGAAGAGGAAATATTTTCTGAGATGTTATTTGAATTTCCTGTCATTCGGATTGTATTTGTGTTTAGGCAAATAAAAATGCAAAGACAGGATGATAAAGCAAAGCAAGGATAAAGTTGTGATCTCTTAATTCTAGGAGAGTTGGTTTTAGATTTTGAAAAGGGAAATTGACTGTGGGATGTATTTTGAATTATGATCTCGGGAAGGTAGAATTCAGACTCCCTTAGGGTTTTTGTATTTGTTTTTCAAATCACCTTTAATCATATGCTTTTTACCTTAGCTCATCTGTGTGGGGAAGGATGGAGTCACATTGGAGATGCCTGCCTCCGCATAAATTCTAGTCGTGAAAGCTATGACAATGCCAAACTATATTGCTACAATTTGAGTGGGAATCTTGCCTCATTAACAACCTCAAAAGAAGTGGAATTTGTTCTTGATGAAATACAGAAATACACACTTCAGGTAACTTGAGTAACTGTAATTAATGCGTGTGTGAATTAAATTTGCTTTGAGAAATCTATTTCAGAGATTTGTCCAAAGAGATTAAAGTTTATGCCTTCAAAGAAATGTAGCATGGTGCTAAAGAGTGCTCTAAGTGGTGTGTAGGATATTAAGGAAATCTCATGTTTAAAATTAATGACACAGGAGTACCCAAGTGTTTCTCCATACTAGATTTAACTGTTAGAGGTTACTGTTTACTTTCAAGATGTGACTTGAGAATGGCTTGGAACACAGGTCTGGGAAGTCCCAGTGCTTTTCAATACACTGTGATAGCAGGAATCAAAAGAAGACGTAATAATTTTGAATGTAACAGAGAAATAAATCCTGACTTTCACATAAGTATCCACAAAACTGCTCTCAGGATTGGGTTTGGCTGGTGAATAGCTGGGCTGCAAGCAGCTGAGGACAAGGAGGTACTAAAGATGCATACTTTTCTTCTGCAGAAAACCCTAGCTCCTTCTGTAACTAGTATGTGGGATCAAAGGGTTATGGAGTAGCTGTACTAGTATGTGAAGCATGTAGGAATTCCCTGCACAGTGGCACCAGAATGAGCCATGAACTAATTAGCTTTCTGCTATAATGATGGGGGAGGAAGAGGGTTGAAAATTCTCACATGCCTCTGGCAAATACAGGAAACTGCCATCAGAATATTTCTTAGGAAGGTGATCCATGTTAATTTAGCTGTGCAACAAGATGAGGATTAATGACCTATTCATGGGTGGTCAGTTTCAGTTTTTTAGCAGTTAAATATTCAAATGCTTATTGCTGTGTTTAAACTGTTGGAAAGCCTACCCACATCACTGATACACATACATGAAATGTATATATGCTCAAAAAGTATCAAACTGAACAGCATACACTCAGATGGAATGTCTTGGGAGAATAAGATTCTTTCACGAGCAAATCAGTTCATCTTGGTAAAGGACATTTTTAGAAGTATTTTGGTTTGTAGAACATGCACCATTTCTTTGTATAAAACCCTCTAATTTTGAGGTAGCTTAGGATTTTAGAGTCACGGGAAAATGGAAGGTAATTATGAACAATAATTAAAGCTTATATCAAGCTAGTATGTGATTTGCAAAGTTACGTTGGAGATGAATTGAGATGCATATGAAGGGAATGGCAGTTAAGAATTGCCTTTGTTATGCTAAATTTGAATGCAAGAGTTTAGGGACATATAATGTGAGTCAAAATATTCTGTATTATCCTTTTTAGTGTTCTATTTCAAGAAAGAGATGCAAATTTCAGTTATGTACTTAAATTTGTTGGGTTTTTTTTCCCTATAAATGTAGGACCTGCACAGGGTGATACTTTTTTTTTTTCCTAGAAAGACATGTGTTTTCTATTATTTGTTAATAAAGGAGAGGGAAGTAATTCTTCTATGTCAGATCTCCCCTGATACTGTACTTACTGTAGCCTTGAAACACATTGTCTGTCTGCTCTTTGATATGAGATAATGTTGAAAATGTAATTGAAAACAAAATAACAAAATCACAAATGGTGATGATTTCTCTAGTTATTTATTTTGCTGCTTTTTTCCCCCTTTTCTTTTTTTTCCCTGATTCCCATTAAAATATTGCACAGGAGGCCTTCAAATCTAATAGTGAGTGATGGAGTATTGGTATGAGTGATATTACCTGCCTGGCTTGAGGTGTAGATGAGAAAAGAGCTGCTTTTTTAGTCTAGAAACTAGATTTTTCTTACATTCCAGAGCTTAGAACTTGAACAAGGTAACATTCTGCTGAGCATATCTTTATTTAAATGAACTAAATCCTGAGCCAATGTGGTGATGTAAATTTGAGATAAGTCATGTACAGTTTTGAAGTTGTACACAAATACATGTTCTTCAAAAGTATATCTTGGGTTAAAGGATTATTTAGTTATCAGGATCTCTAATGGAATGCTACCATGACTTATCCTGGCAATTTCAGGGGGAAAAAAAATAAGTTTTTTTTTTAATTCATATCTATCTTTCCAGTTACATTTATTCTGTGTGAGACAGCCTAAATGTCTTATCCGGGCTCTCCAGAACTTTTTGATTTTCTTTTGTCTGCCTTTTCCTCTCAAACTGCGATCATAATGATTTAAGGGCTGAGATTTCATTTTAGATGGCTGTTGTAACAGGTGGTGATGTGGAGTTCACAAATGCAGTCAGAGCAACTTTAAGGTGAACACAGTGCCTTTTAATCTTTATTATCTATGGTGGAGTTTGACTTGTGTGGTTAATATAAAAGGCTTTAAAATCTTCACCTATGTGAAAAGCTTTCAGGATTAGTGGATGTGTCAGAGCAACATTTGAAAATAAGAATATGGATCTGTTTTTATCTCTGCTTTATTTGATATACTGAGAAGAGAAAAGCAACTTTGGTGAATGTTGTGTATTGTGCAAACTTTTAGAATAGTGTCAGTAAATGCTACAGCCTGGAGGGACTTAAGGATTCTTTATTGTTCATAGAAATAATGTGAGACTTCATAGATTCTGGTTTAGGGGTTTTTTTGTTATTTTTTTTTCTAATGCACAAAGTCCTTGTCCTGGGACAAATTTAGGACAATTTCTTCATCATGTTTAGACTATTACAAAACATTGATGCTTTAGAAATTTTCAGAGAGAGGAGGCTGCCGTTGTCTTCGCACCCTGTCCAGACCTTATCATTTATCAGTAATTTCTCTTAAGTCCAATGCTAAATTGGAAATCAATAGATTGCCTCCTAAAGGATAAGGAAAAAGTTCTTTTGGTACTAAAGGGCCAAGACAAAGACCTTTGTAGTACGAAGTCAAAACACAGTTGAGTTTGCAGATGTATTCTAAAACTATCAACAATAATTAAAAGTCTAATTTGTAGTTTTCATTGAAAAGAATTGATAAATTCTTTGAGAATGGCAAAGTAAACACAGTGGATGGACTGCAGATTCCCATACTAAAGCAAAATGACACTCCATCTTTTCTTGTGTGCTGTTTTATTGACCCAGTAAGAAATATTATGAAAGAGAAGATTTTTCTATAGACAAAACAGTAATATGAAGTTAATTAATTGTTCTTGCAATATTAAAATGTTGTATATGCATTTGAAAGTACAGTTAGTTCTCTTGGGAGTTTGCTCACAACTGTGGGACTGAACTAAAAATAACTTTCTTGTTAACATGGAATAAATTCTGAGATGACTTAGTTTTGGTGTAGTAAGCATAAACAAAGATGAGAACAGTTTAAACAATGCCTTTGATTATATAAACTGCAACTTTCCTTTAACTCACTGTTCTCAGGGCTAAGCATCCTTTATAAATTACACTTGAGCGTAGGTTGTTGTTAATTAGTGAGCTTTGCATGGCAATGTTATTCCTTGTTAGATCAAAGTATTCTCAGAGGGCTGTATGTTTTTGTGGTTTTATCAAATGTGTGGTTGTAGTGAAGCTGACACCTACTTTTTCTCTGAATTAGTCTCATTAGTACAGTTTCTAGCAGTCCCACTTTCGTGTTGTGGTTTTGGAAGCCTAATAAATTGCTTCAGCACTTTGTTTCCATCAGAGCTGTTACTTTGACTGCTCATTAGTTCACCTCTAGTTTAATTGTCTTCCCACTTTCAGGAAGTGGGGAGCTCAACTCACTTTAGATGCTTGAGAACCTGAATTTCCTCCCCTAAAATTGTCCCCTATACAGATGAAAACTGAAGACCATCTAAACCAAAGTCCCACTGGAATACTAGCTATAATCCCTCTAGATGGAAATTGAGGAAGTTGTAATCTTTGATTTGCCAGATTTTAATTTTTTTTTTTAATAATGTTACAACAGAAAAATTTGAAGAGAGTAGTAGGAGAAACAGATGTTTTTATGACCTCATGCATAACTGCTGCTAAAAACATCTAGATTTCATCATTTGTGTCTAATAGAAACTGAGACACTTGAAAATCATGGAGCTTGACTCCACTGCTTGTAATGTATCATTGCCTGGGTAAATATTGACAAAATATGAAGTGTGCAGGTATCTAGCATAGTTAGAATCAATGCATAGTTAAAGAAAAGAAACCAAGCAATAAGCTATTAAATAGAATAGATGTTTTCTCTTCATATAAGTCTTAGTTTTAGTAGGCAAGGGTTTTTAAGCATAATGATGCAGAAAAGAGGCAAACTGACCGCAAGCACTTCACAAAAGTGTGGATGTTGCAGAAGTGTGAGCATTAAGTGGCCACTGTATTTTCAAAGATTATAGAATTATTATAGAATCATAGAATGGTTTATGTTGGAAGGGACCTTAAAGCTCATCCAGTTCCAATCCCCTGCCATGGGCAGGGACACCTTTTACTAGACCTGGCTGCACCAAGCTCCATCCAACCTGGCCTTGAACACTTCCAGGGATGGGGCAGCCATAGTTTCTCTGAGCAACCTGTTCCAGGGCCTTACCACCCTCACAGTAAATTAGGCACTTAATTACAACTAAACCTTTGTAGTTCAGTATTTTGAGGGAAACTATTTTCCTAGAAATCAAGGAGTTCAAAAGAGTCTTGAAAAGTTTGTTGAAGTTTGGTAATAACATACAGTGATGCACACATTAGAAAATACATCAGAAGTGTATCATACGCTTCCAGAACAATTTAAGATCCAAAATGAAAGAAATTTAAGTAAAGGTGAGGATAAATTTTTTGAAAGATACGTAATTCCTTAGCAATGTGCATAATTAAGGAAGAGAGGAGAATTTTGAGCCTCAATAGTAATTGGGTATTCAATAAAGGTAGGCTTGCTCACTTCACTCCTCTGCAAATTATTCAGCCCTCATTAAATTAGTGCTGAGGCAGCAGTAGTGCCTGAAAAATGTGGCATGACTATAAATGATCACATTCACTGTAGATCTCAAAGCAACTTAGCCTGACTTAAATGTTCTGTAAACAGTGGATTTAACATGAAGTATCATCTCTGTAGTTAAGGTGACACAATTTCCTTTCTAATATAATTGCATAATTACTACTTAA